CCGCCCTTCCGCCGCCGCCGCTATATAAATAATAACTATAAATGGTGTTTTGAAAACACGTTTGAGAAATAAATACCATGATATGGTGTTTTTTTAAAAAAACACTACAAAAAGAAACACATTGGTTATCAAACACACTCTAAGTATCTCACTTAAGTTTGCACTCCCTTTGTCTGCTTCTAGAAGAAATTTAGAAAAATTATAGTAGGATAGTCCCTAAATTAATAATGCTTATATGGTGTTTCATACTTAAGAAAATAAGAAATACATTTCTAAGTTCCTGTGAATTTTTAACAAGCGCACAATGTAAAATTTGAAATTTAACATCAAAGTCTACAACTGCAATGTCCCAGAGTACCCACCTAAGTGCATGATCATAGCAAACAAGTGACAATGAAGTGTTCAAGAAGGGAGAGGGACATGTGAGATTTCCCATATCTGCCCGACCAAAAAAATATATATATTAATGATAATAAGGACCCACGAGACTGTTCCAAAAGCCCAGTTACAGTTTATATATGAAGATCTTACAGCAAAATAGGGGTGGAACCTAAGGCAAATTGCAAGGAAATTGTTCACCAATAATAATTGCGTGGGATTTGCATGTCGTAGACAAAAGAAAAAGATTTAAATCGCAATAGGTTTAGAGCATGGAGCAGAATGAGGCTTAAGCATGACAGCGATTTTGCTGAGTTACTATACTTGGTTAACTACATATCTGCAGCAAAAGTAATTCGAAGAAAAAAGTATGAAATGACTGCATTGTGTAGCGTACACCAAATACCAGCATAAACTAGCAGCTTATTCGCACAAACGACAAAACAAATTATTCTTAAGATACTGTGATGCAAATTATAAAACTGTAACTGCCAAAACTTGTCCCAACTTGTCCAAGGTTTCTCTCTTAAAGACTGGATTGAAGGGTTGCCAAACTATTACTGACACATGGCCTATAGTTCGTAAGCCTGCTCAACAACCCCATAAACTTTAGTCACTGCTATAAACAAATGCCACAAACCGCTGCAAGATTCTACACAGGAACCACTATGATGATATTTAATTATTGGCCTCTTAACTTTAGGACTTCAGCACCCACTAAACCATATTCTCAATTAGGGGGGTTATTCATTGGTGTAATTTGGGGGATAAAGGAGTAATTTTTGGAACAATAATATTTGGTGTTATTCATTGGTGTAATTGGAACTGGTGTCAACTTTGTGGTGTTATTAGTTTGTTAGTGTAATTAGGGGACAAATACCCCCACTTTCCCCCAAATTATCCCAGCTATAAAACCAATGCTCAGCCCCACCCTCAAAATTTACCCCACTTCGTTTGCTGGAACAAAATTACCCCACTTGGAATCCTTCGTCGCCTCGTTCTCAAATCCTAGCTCCTCCGACGACTCATCGTACGAGAAGCTCCTGGAATCCTTGATCGAGTGGTACCTCGAGTCCGAATCGGGGTTGAGCCAGCTAGGGTTATCGGAATCGACGCCGCCCTCGTCGATCTCGTCTTCGGATGGCCGAGATTTGATCGGATTGAGGGAGAAATAGTCGGGGTCTGGGCTGGTGGAGCAGAGAGCGGTGGAAGAGGAGGAGGACAGGACAGGGCGGTGGCGAGGTCGAAGGGCGCTGCTGAGGGCGACGGCGGATCTGGAGGTCGACGAGGGCGGCAGTTGGGGAGGCGCGGAGTTCAAGCTTGGGCTGATGGGTGGAGGGCGGAGCTCAAGGAGGAGCTGGGC